TACTACTACTCCTAGTACTACTAGTAGTTACTACTAGTAGCTGGTATCAATACCACAACGTCCACAACGACGACAACTACTCTAGTACTAGTACGACAGTACGAATGATGCTTCTGCTGCTGCTACTGTTTTGACAGCTGCTGTTGCTACGATGTCCAAGACGACGGTTAGTAGCGGGCTGCGACATCTCATGTTACGTATGTGACTTCCAACGTGCACTACTGGTATATACAGCCACCATGGCCACGAAGACCATAGCAAGACGTGATAGCAAAAAGAGCAACGGTCGACAACCGCCATCAGTTTTGCTGTTGCTTCAATATTGCCAAGCCATTTGGTTTGCAAGAGATAAGCCAACTCGGCTGGGACTTGTATGCCGCACCCGCCCTTAACTGCTTTGCAGCTTCAGATCCGGGGTTGAGATTCCATGGGACGTATGAATGGCAGCGCCCGTGAAATCATCATGTCAAACGTTGTGGTTACATGGCCTTGCTGGTTTATTATTTGTCTTTATGTGTTCTTGTTAGGTGTCACTATTTATTTGTGCTGCTTTGTTTTTATGGTATATGCCTTCATGAATTGCACGTGTTAACTTAGTTGTTGCTTTGTTGTTTGTGTTTGGGTGTGTGTCTTTCTTTCGTTGGCAAGGCACGCCATGAAAAATGCACACAAGTCACAGCCAATGCCCGCAACCGGCCCAAACACGAAGCTCCATATGTTGGCTATCTTTGCGGGTCGAGATCCGGCGCTACCGTAGAGTCTTCTACGAATGCATTCTACGCGTGCACACGTTTGTCCGACTTGGCCCGGTTAAATTGTTTGACCAAGGGCGCAGCTGAATGCAACAGTCGAGACGCTTGATGTCTTTGTCGTTGGAACTCATCAAACTTTCAGACATGTGCCCACGTGGAAGCAAGCGGGGGATCCCACGATGCGCCCCCCATGTTTGTGTTGGGAGTCTTTGGTTATGTGATGTCATAAAAGGGTGTGTCATGTTTTTTTGTCTGGGTATGGGATGGAAAGCTTCAGGGAATTCCATTGGTGTGTTTCGTTGTTCTATGTTGGTTGATCGATTGCTGTCATTTGTTGATGTTTGTTGTCGTTCTTGTTGTGCTGTTTTGTTGTTTGTTTTGATATTTCCTTTTTGAGCATCATGCTCATGCAAGATCTCAACCCTGTGGATCTGCGGCGAAAAAGTCCAATGAATTCGCCAAGTCCAAACACTTCGTTGCGAACGGACGGGACTTGTCGGGCTCTGCACTCACGAATGCAGCCTTTGAACATGCAGTCCAAGGCCCGGGATTGAGTCTGCAAAGCCAATGTCATTGTTTGTCGTCAACAATGCCCGTGGGCACTGTCGATCTCACTCATCACCTGCGAATGTATGCTTTCGCTTTGAACAAATAAAGCACTCCTCTTGCCTTGCCAATATGTTTATGTAGTCGGGCATCACATGTATGATCGTTAATACCATTCCGGGCCTCAAATGTTCGGCCGCTCAGGCGCCCGATCACGGTCGTTCCTCGACAATACCCTCGCCAAAGTCAGCTTTCCTTTACGGAAAAAGATGTTTGCACGCAGGGCACCACCAAGATCTGTCGGAGGGTCTAGTGACAAGTGTATTCTGAATCTCGAGTGGGCTTCCGCCGATTGACCCGCAAGCCTGAGAGATTTCCGCTTGACAAGTGCGTCGATGTACTTGCAAAACCGTTGGGGAGGCAGCCAACAACACACAGTGTTAGTTATCGATGTATGTAAATACAAATATATATATATATATATATATGTGGTGATATCCTTATATGGACTTATGTATGTGTCTGTATATATATATATATACATATATATACATATATATATATATATGGGAGAGGGTTCTTTAGGGTTCATTTGGCTCAGCAGATATGAAAGCATATACACGTGTTGAATTAATTGGATTCTCGGGCCATTTGGGAATTAAAGTAATTCAAATAACTTAACTTATTCAGATCACCGACTCACTGATTTGAATTATTTGAATGTTTGCGCCTGTTTGAGAATTCCAACAATTCCCTGGTGTGAATTGCAAAGGCCGGAGAATTCAAGTAATTCAAATCCTTGATTCCCTGCTTTGAATTATTCGAAATGTTTGGCTTATTAGAATTCTCAAATGGGCCCGAGAATTCAAGCAATTCAATTCAGACTCCCCGTCCTTATTGCCCAGGGTCCATTTGAGAATTCAAAATGTTCAAATAATTCGATCCAGGGAATCAAGGGTTTGAATTGCTTGAATTCTCTGCTCCATTTGAGAATTCAAATAATTCAAAAAATTGAACTCCTTGATTCTCTGATTTGATTGATTGGACTTCTCAAATGGGCCCGAGAATTGAAATAATTCATCAAACACCCGTCCTTTTTGCCCAGGATCCATTTAAGAGTTCACAAAATTAAGAATTCAAATCATGGAATCAGGGAGTTGAATGATTTGAACTACTTGAATTCTCAGGTCCATTTGAGGATTCAAACAATTCAAGGAATTCGAACCAGGGAATTGAAATCTTTGAATTCTGAAATGGACCCGAGAATTCAATTATTTCAAGCAAGTCGATGCCTTGATTCTCTGATTTGAAATAATTGAATTCTCAAATAGGCCCGAGAATTCAAGCAGTTCAAAACAAACATGCAATTGCGCTATCCTTGAATCGAGCCCCGGGAGATTTCTCTTCCGGTGATGTTCACATGTGTGAAGTATACCGGAGAGTCTCCGGTCACCTTCA